CATTGTATGCACCTAGGAGTATGGATGTGTACACACGCACCGCTGCATGAACCCTTCACACACGTGCTGAAGACAGCTCTGGTCAGCCCCCTCCTGACCATTAACCCTTCGGAGGCAGAACTGCTGGTTCAGATCCCAGACAGCTCAAACCCCACAGCCAGCACTCAGGTACGTGTCATATTGATTAAAACTACCTGATGTGAGAAGCAGAGGAAAAGCCTGGAAATAAATAGCACCCACAGAAGCTTTGCTTCAGACGCTGGCAAAAGGCTGCAGATCTTATCGTGGAGAACAAAAGACCTCACCACAGCTGTTTATAGTCTGCTGTGCCGAGTCTTTTCTGCTTTGTGTTTTCTTTAGCAAGTCAAATCTTGTTTGTGTACATCTCATTCCTGGCATTCACGTGATACCAAAACATTTCCCAAACAGGAAAATAATCAGGACAGGTTTGAGAGATGTCAGCAATCCCCTGGATCCCAACAGCCACATGTCTGGCTTGGGTGGCTGGAGGGGAACAGAGGATGGAGGCTCAGCTGCTGGGGGACCTGCACCCCTGCACAACACACAGATTAACTCGCTGCAGCCTGCGTGAGCAGCATCAGGAGACAGGACCCCACAGAGGAGAATAAAACACATGCAGGAGCCTCTGCTCCTGGAAGTGGAGCACAGATTGTGTCAAAAGGAAGAACTCAGAAAGCAACTCCAGCTACATCTGCACCAAATTAGCACTCACTGGGGAGATGCTACCAGGAATGGCCCCTGTCTGAGGGGAAATAAAGGGAAAATGGTGTTTCTGCTTCTTTGCTACTCCCTTTGATGTCACTCACGAGAGAGGACTGCTGACTTCAGCTGCACAGCTCTGCTCAGGAAAATGCTCTCGGTTTGTTTTCCATATCTAAAAGCATAAGAGCTACCAACACAAACTGCATTTCAGGAATGTCCAACGAATATCCCCATGGGGCTGCAGGGAACCACAAAGGACTTTCGACACTGCCACACCAAGACACACAAGATCCAGCATCATCCAAACCTTTCTCAGTCCAAGCTTTGCCGCGATCTCGTCCACAACCTCAGCTTTTGGATCTTCCAGGATCTCCAGGCTGTTCTGGGTACCAATCTGCAGCAGAGAGAAAACTGGCTGGTGAGACAGAACAGGACAGAACATGATACATTTGGCCACTGTCAGGAGCGAGGCAGAGGAGGGAAGAAGAGGTCAAGGTTTCCCCTTCGGCATTACCAGTGACCAGTTTCACCCCAGGGACCTCCTCTCCTCACAGACCCATCCCACTGGAGCTCTTCAGCTGAGTTTTCAGCCTGTGTCAGGGATTATGAATGAAAGACTGAGCATTCACAAACAGGCCACTGCTGTTTCAGAGCACTTTGGAAAAGGCAAGGGATTATATCATTTTCCAAAGCTCTGTGTTCAACTGCCAGTTTCGCTGCTGCTTCATTTGTCTGCATCTCTGAGCAGCAGAGAGGCAGGAATCTGGTGAATCCAAGAGCCCAGGCACAGGCTTTCCCCCCGTGCTCTGGAAAACACAACCCCATCTGGGTGTGTTTCAGAGGCGAGCTCTCATGTGGGGAGATGCTGTGTCGAGAGCACAGCAGGGACTGCTTGCCAGGACAGCAAAAGCTTCCTTGCTCTTACCATGCACAACTGAAAGCACATGAACTTCCAAAGCAGGAGCTTAACAGTGATACTGAAACTACAGAGGGCCTGGCTCTGCTCATATAGAGAGGTGTGTAGTGACAGGACAAGGGGGAATGGATTTAAACTAAAAGGTAGATTGAGATGAGCTCCGAGGCAGAAGCTCTTCCCTGTGAGGGTGCTGAGGCGCTGGCACAGGGTGCCCAGAGAAGCTGTGGCTGCCCCATCCCTGGCAGTGCTCAAGGGCAGGTTGGACACAGGGGCTTGGAGCAACCTGCTCTAGTGGAGGGTGTCCCTGCCCGGGGCAGGGGTTGGAGCTGGATGAGCTTTAAGGTCCCTTCCAACACAAACCATTCCATGACTCTACAGTATGATCCACATTGGAGAGAAAGTGAAGAACTTATAAAGATCTTGCAATTCTGTGCTCTCACACTCTCCTAAAGATCCATTTGTTCTTTTTCCACTGCTAAATCTGTTGCATCTTACTCTAGCAGCTCTGCAGAAATCACCAAGAGGAAGAAAACATATGACCCACTGCAGTACGTTTGTACACAGTGTCTGCACTTAGAGAAGTGACTCTGATCCGCACTGAGGAGCCAGGAGGCAAACCCAACTGCAAGCCAAGCCTCGTGTTGGGGGCAGAGTGGCTTTTTGCCTTTGCCATCTCCATTTTCAGCTCTCTGATACCACACTCAGCTTTTTGGCTCCCGGGAGGCCGGACTCACTGTGCGGAGCCGTGCACCATCTAGTGGGGACTCGGTTGCTCTGAGGCATCAGATCTCCCCGGTCCCTCCATCAAGAAGCAGACTGCATTTTTGTCTAATTAAACTGCTTAAAGTTTCCCAGAGAGCTGATAAGTAATTGAAAGAAGGGCCACAACTTCCTTTTCCTAATAGAGACTTTGTTTTCAAGCTGTTCTGTGCCACAGCCTTGGAAATACAGTCATCGAGGAAACACGAAAGGTGAAACCCCACTGTCAGGAAGTCACCCTTAGCTTTAAATCACCTCAGCACAAAGTAATGTAAAAGAAATCGTAAAAAATAACAAAAAGCACATCTGGGTTTTAAAAGTCTTCCAGTGGCAATAACTGACGGGGACATTAAAGACATAAATCACCTCATCTTTATCACGGGACGTCTGCTCACGAAGCTGCAGTCTGAAATACTGCAGGAAGTTTCCCAAACACAGTGTTTCTGTGCTCCCCGATTATCTTTTATGAGTGAACAGTGACTCCACGGGGCCCAGTGTTACCTGTGGGGGTTCATAGATGGCAGCAACCTCAGCCCGGATGCCCAGGGGGATGTCTTTGTGCTCTGTGTACCGGCCATAGAGGTACCCGAGGTGCTGGTTTCCTGTCTTCCGCCAGAAGTCGAGGAAGCGATCTGCAATTGTGTGGTTCTCAAACATGATGTTGTCAACATGCCTGTATTTCTGTTTGACAAAGTTCAAGTGTCAGGCCATCCTACCACCGAAACCTTCCCCCTGCCCAGGACACACACCACCCCTCTGCAGCTTTCCCTGTCCCAGGGAAGGGAGCTGACCCCCTCCCTCGGCTGCAGCCTCCCCCTTCGGCACCACTGTCCTGCCCAGCAAGCAGAACCCACCATGGGATGGAGCCTGGGGAAGTGCTCAGCACCCCCTTAGCCTGGCTTCTTTCCTGGGGCCCTTTATGACTAAAACCAGACACTGATATTTAAGAGGAAGTAAGAAAAAGTAGTGGGTGGCCTTTTGA